CAGCACATCTCCTCTCGTCTCCTCTTCTCTCCGCTTTGGTGGAAACCGGGCCTTACACCGGAATTCTCTAAAGCCATAATCATGGCTTGTATATGTCTGGCAAGCCCGCTAACATTAAAGTCCCAAGTCATTCATCATCGATTTGAAAAGATATGTTTCTCAGTTTATGAGCAGATGTCATTATTTTATTCACGTTATCTGCTACACTAGCGCTTCATTCTAATGTTGTATTTATGAGGTCTTTCAATAAACCAACCTTGCGGAGTAGACCGGAGTCTTGAAATGCTTTAGACAAATTTTGCCATACCTCTTTTGATGTTTTTGCGTCTCGTATATGTACATACAACATAGGGTCCACCAATAACATCATCTTCGACTTCGCCTTTAAATCCTTCTTCACATCAGGAGTTTTATTATCTTCAATTTTAATACATTCCCACAGTTTCTAATGTTGTAGGTAAGCTTTTACAGCAAAACTCAGACTCGTCCAATTGTCGCGACCAGTGGGCTTTTCAATCGATATCAAGGAAAGAAAAAACCGCGTGTGCCCGAACACTTCTAGGTTATCAATTTTTTGTAAAACTGTAAATATTCTTTTAATCACTGTAATTTTACTTAACAAGTACGGGGCGGCCCATAACCTGATAAAATAAATAGACTTAACAATTTAATTGATTTAATTATTAGGTGCCACTGATTAAAAAAACGTGTTACGGAAGGCTCTATAATACATACAGATTTTTGTAGAGCCTACGATTGCCTTTGGCAGCATGGTTACATACACAAGAAAGTTAATGATAGTGATCCAGAAAACAGATTTGTAACACCAGATGGGACACACACACAGCGTATAGAAAATCACTGGAGAGCGTTGAAACGACAATTCCACAGGCATCAACAAGAGAGTTTAGTGACTGGCTTGTGGAATATTCCGGCGGAGGAAAAATTTAATGTTTCACAGAGATCCATTTGAGGAACCAATAAAAGCGTTAAAATATGTGTCTATAGAATAGGTACTGACATTAGATAACATAGGTTAAGGCTTTACTAATAATACTAACAAAGGTTTAGGCATTACTAACAGTACTAAAATAGATTAAGACATTAACATCTGAAATGTCATGTTGCTGTAATTTTGAAAATGTTGTTAACCGTTTGTTATCAAGTAATTATGCAATAAACTGTGTGAAGTATGAAGTTTAAATGTATTTTAAACTATATACTTCATATTTTATTTCATTTTCATTAATGTAATTGATAACTATAAATTAAACATTCCACATAAAAATTAAAAGAAAACAAATGTAGTTTACATAGGTTAAATCTTGGTTGCGTCTCACAATCAGTAGGTTAAGTTAGTATATGATAAAAGCCAGAAGTGAATTTGTTTGCTTTTCCGAAATTATAATATATTTCAAGTTTATAGACAGCATTAATTAGGATTTTACGTTTTGCCAGGTTTTTGGTTAAATTTAGTATCTCACATAACACAGGAAGTTTACGTAACTCCCCACTCACGGGGGGCTAGGGGGAGGGTTTTACCCCGTTAGGAACTCGGGGGGAGGGATTTACCCCGGCTCTTTGGTGTGAAAACATGATTTTTTGAGGTCATTGTTTTCGAACTTTCAAAAATTAATATCTTGAATTAACGTCCTAACTTCGAAACTTTGCAAGGAGGGTCACTTCCCCTCCCTCTCTCCACCCCCTCCAACTCAAATCGTGCGATGGGAATGTACAGTCCTTCCGCTGTTTCAGCTTCCAGTTGATGCTGTGATATGAGACGCTTGCTATATAATAGCAAATGAAAGTAGTGTCAATGACATTGATACAAGGAAGAGGCTTGGCCATACTAATGTTTGTGTTGGATATGGTTGTTCTAGTTTGAATGTAAGAAATCACAAACTTAAACAAAATAGCCCATTGCTGAATGTTTTTTAATGGATCATCAATCGGCCAGTATGTACATATAAGCAGACTTATTTCCATAACAATGCAATCTAGACTTACATACATATACGAATTTACATATTAAGTCACAAATAAGTTAACATTTTTAATATATTTTTGTACAGTGCCATAGAAATCAGGGGTGTCATACAGGGTGGGGCATGGGAACCTCCCACATTTCAAGAATCAGCTGTAGGGGAATGGGTGGGTGTAGAGGAGGGGGGTTGGTCTCGTTCGGAGTCGTGAGTGATGTAGTTGTCAGTCGGCAACATGCCGTGGTCAGGAGAACAACGTGCGTTCATTCTCGAGACCTTTTTCAAAAATGGCGAATCTGTAATTGCCTTTGAGGGCGTTCCGTAGAAGGTACAGTTTGCGCGAAAACATGCTTCTGCTCTTCAGATTTCGGCGAGAACAGTGCGGCGGATTTTGCATACCGACCTCAATTTACACCCCTACAAGATCATGGTTGGCCAGGAATTGTCCCCAACAGACTGGGGGCGACGTGTTGAATGTTGTGAAGCGATCCTTCAACAAGTGCCTCCCACTGCTATTTTGTGGACTAGCGATGAAGCTCATTTTCATCTGTCAGGGTGTGTGAATAAGCAAAACTTCCGTTACTGGGCAGCTGAGAACCCTCGAGAACTTCACCAAAAACCTCTTCACAGCCCCAAGGTCACAGTCTGGTGTGCACTGTCGTCTATAGGCATCATTGGTCCTTATTTTTTTGAGGAGGGTGGCGTCACGATTACTGTAAACTGTGACCGGTACTGTGACATGCTTGAGAATTTTTTTAGGCCAAAGATCGCAGAATTTGGTGTGGAATATGAACGTGAGAGCTTCTGGTTCCAACAAGATGGTGCTACAGCACACACAGCCCGTCGTTCACGGGCTATTCTCCAGGAGATGTTCCCAGGGCAGGTGGTCTCCTTGCATGAGCCCATTCCGTGGCCCCCGCGCTCCCCCGATTTAAGCCCTTGTGATTTTTATCTATGGGGTTACCTCAAGGCCGAGGTATTCAAACATCGTCCAAGGACCCTGGTAGACCTCAGAACCGCAATCGAGGAAGAAATCGCCCAGATAACCTCCACCACACTTGAGAAAGTCATGCGAAACTTTCACGAAAGGCTCAATATGTGCGTTGCCCGGCAAGGCCATCATTTACAGGATATTATTTATAAAACATAGTGTAAACCAAACTACATAACGTTAACTTTTTTTATAAATAAAAGTTTTGACATTATCTCACGTTCTTTTCATTTAACAACCCTTTGAAATGTGGGAGGTTCCCATGCCCCACCCTGTACATGTTGGGTGCGAGGAAATTGAAGAGTTGTACAAGATGTACAAAGGATTAAAGTTGAAATTCCACTTCCACCTGAGCAACCCTGAAGCCCTATGAAGAATGAACCTGAGCAACCCCGAAGCCCTGCGGAGAATGAGCCATTGGAATCGTCTATATATCCCGTGGTTGAGCAGACAGTATTACCTTCGAGAACTATTGTTTTACAAAACTATGAACGCTCGGCGAATATCTCTAGCCATTGTATTTATAACACGTGTCGCAATGTAGCAGGACATTTAGTGCCCACATTTATTAAGGTTATTTTGATAAAGGAATATAAGTTATATGTTCCAAGATTTGCTAGTCTGCGAGATCATTTGTTTAGTAACACTTGGCAATCATTACCTGAATAAACAAATACATTATCTGATTTAAATGTAACTCAAATAAAAGACATAATTGGTCTAGCAAAAACGGAAATATGATTTGATTTTGAAAATGTACAAGATATGCCTAACCATATTTGTCATTAGATAATCATGTAACTCCACTAAAATTGTCTCTTGCTATATATTTCTTCGAACTGGCGATAGTAATAAAATTTTATCCTCACTTTTCGAAATGTCTAGAATGACTTTAGAAAGCCAAATGAAAAAATTGAGAGAATATATTGTGGAAAATTTTATACCTCTTCACACAGGCCTATAGCACACAATAGCTCACGACATATCCAACAGAAATCTTTCTATACCAAATGCCTTATTTGGGGGCCGTAACAGTAATGTAGAGGAGAGACCTGCAATAGTTATATGTGACGGTAGAATTATATATATATGTATATTGAAAAAAATTCCAGTTATTTGTACTAAAAAAAGAATTATGCCCAATTTCACCAACAATCCTCAAATTTTAAGTGACTCTTATCCCATTTTAGGTGACACTTAACGGCAAAATGGCTTTCACCAAGCTTTAAGCGTCACCTAGCGCTTTAAGGGACCCCTTACATTTAGGGGCCCAAACATCGGACTCCTGTCGCTAAGTGACAGTTATTTTACTAATTTCGAGGTTATCACGGTATAAGAAATGGAAAATATTTTCGAGTTTTTAGACCGTTTAGATGCCATCGATACAATTGAAAATATTTACCATGTATTTCGGAGACCGCGCGTTTATAGAGTGAGATCAGATTTCTTCGCAAAGTATGACGACGTAGATTTCTTTCGAAGATACAGATTATCCAAAGATAGTGTGCGATTTTTGTTAGAGAAAATTGCAGTGTATTTAGAATTCCCGAGTAGAAGGTAAGTGATAAAAATGTTGTATATAAGTACCTATCTATATTTATTTCCATGCAGAATACTTTGTTTTGTAAGCGATCATTTATTTTCTTGGTTTTCATGTTCTTTTAATTTTTAGGAACAATGCTGTGGCTTCTATAAGCCAGTTACTGATCGCATTGCGTTTTTACGCCACTGGTAACCATTTGCTCGCAGTAGCCGACATGGGAGGCATTAGTGAGGCTACTTGTAGTAGAATTGTAAAGAGAGTGTCAGAAGCAATTGTACGTTTGCGGAATGATTTATTACATTCCCAGAAACAGAAGAAGAACAGGCCAAAGTAAAGCTGGGGTTTTTCAATATTGCGAAATTTCCTAATATTTTGGGCTGCATTGATTTGTACACATGTAAGGATACAATCACCTGGTAGGCAGGTTATATATTATTAGCTAGACGTATGGTTTCTATATTGGCAGAGCAGATTCAGCAACCTCAGCGGTATAATTTAGGCCGCGTTTCCTCTTTTCTGCCATGATTGCCGACAAATTACCACAACACTTTCAAATTATACAGCTACAAATTTATCTGTTTACTTCAGAAACGTAATACGTGCGTGACATAACCTTAAATTTGTATTTTTTATTGCTTAGACACATATGGGCAACATGCGGCCCGCTGTAAGATATAATCCGGCCCGCGAGACATTTTGAAAAAAAAAAAACTCAATGAAAAAATATTAAACTAGGTACCTACTTACACTCACAGCGACAGTGAAGCCCCAAACATCTAATCCTTTGATGTTTGCCGCCTCACTCTTTGATAATCGCCGCCACTCGGCTTACTCGATCAGTCTTTGATGTTTGCCGCCCGACGCCTCACGGGCGGCAAACATCAAAGACTTATTGCTTCTCAATTATTCTAAAACTAGTTTATTCCAGAATATTCCTTCATTTTGCCTATAAGCGGGTGTATGGCCCGAACATTTGTGCAGTTCTATTCGAGCTACCGAGGTGATAACTTCGACAAGCGATATTCTAGCGAACTGTTTGAGCCGTGAACTTTGTGTGCATCTTGAGTGGTTGTGTACTAACTATAGTTTGTATTGTTATTAAGTTTAAAGAACGAAAAGTTAACAAAAATGATGTCTGGTAGAAAAAAACGAAAAGTAGATACAGAGGGACGCCAGTTTCAAGAAAAATGGACTGAAGAATTCTTTTTTATTTTGCACAATGGTAAGCCTATTTGTTTGCTGTGTAATGAATCCATTTCAGTTATGAAAGAATTCAATATAAAGAGGCATTACTTAACTAAGCATACTGCGCTACACTCACTGACAGGACAATTAAGAACAGACAAAATCCAGAAGCTTACAGCAAATTTGGAGAAGCAGCAACAAATGTTTCATAAACAAAGAACACAACTTGATAATGTTGTGAAAGCTAGTTTTAAAGTTAGCTCAAAATTGGCAAAGGCATTAAAACCATTTGCCGAAGGAGAATTTATTAAGGAGTGTATGTTAGAAGTTTGCAGTGTTTTGTGTCCTGAAAAAAAAAATGAATTTGAAAAAATTAGTTTGTCAAGACGAACCGTTGTTCGACGTATAGAAATGATGGCTAATGATATAAAAACAACATTGACTGACCGTATGGCTGGTTTTGAATCATTTTCCATAGCATTAGACGAGAGCACGGATTTGTCGGACACAGCTCAACTGGCTATATTTATTCGAGGTGTTGATAAGGAGTTCACTGTTACTGAGGAATTGCTTGCTTTACAGCCGCTAAAAGGAACCACTTCAGGGGAGGATATTTTTAAAGAAGTTCAAAAGGTATTCACAAGATTTGGCTTGCCATGGTCAAAATTAAAGGGAGTATGCACTGATGGTGCACCTTCTATGGTCGGCTTACGTAAAGGTTTCATCGGAATTTTAAATGAAAAAGCAACAGCATTAAATGTGCAAAAAGATGATTTGATAGTCCTTCATTGCATTATCCACCAACAGAACTTGTGTTCTAAGTCCATTCGACTCCAGCATGTTATGGATGTGGTAGTAAAAACCATCAATTTTATTCGATCTCGAGTGCTTAAATCGTCAGTTCAAGGGGTTCTTGGATGAAATATCCGCTGAATATAACGACATAACATATTATTGTGAAGTCAGATGGCTGAGCAAAGGAAAAATGTTGAAACGGTTTTACGAGCTTAGAAATAAGATAGCAGACTTTATGAAAATAAAAGATAAACCACTATCTGAATTGAGTGACCCAAAATGAATATGTGACTTAGCATTTCTGGTCGATCTAACAGGCTATTTGAATGATTTAAATTTGAAACTACAAAAACAAGGACAGTTAGTAAATGATTTGTACAGCCATTTGAAAGCATTTCAGGTCAAACTGCGCTTGTGGGAGTCATAGATGCTATCTGGTAAGAGTTACCATTTCAACACGCTCTTTACGTATGAAAATATTGCTTATGCTCAATATGCAGAAGAACTCGAGTTACTGTCGGAACAATTTTCGAACAGATTTAGCGATTTCAAAAACATGGAAGACTGTTTCAGTTTATTTGCAAATCCAACAAAAAGTAATGTACAAAATGCTCCTTACAAACTTACACTTACAAATGGAGTTGATCGAAATTCAAGAAAACTCACTCCTAAAATCTAAATTTGAAGAAGTAGAGTTGTGCGATTTCTACAAAAAATACCTAGAAGAAGACAATTTTCCGCAGCTTAGAAAATTCGCAAGATTGATTTGTGCTTTTGGCAGTACTTATAAATGCGAACAGTTCTTTTCGATGATGAAAATTAATAAATCAACACATCGCACAAGACTGACTGACGATAATTTGGAAAATTCTTTACGTGTTTGTATCAGTGGAATTAATCCAAATATCGATGGATTAGTTTCCCAAATTCAAGCTCAAGTGTCTCATTGATTGACTTTCATAGTATGTAGCAATTGCAAATTTATCGATTTACCGATATGATGTTGTACCATTTTTTTAAATTTCATTTTTTAAATAAATTGTACTAGTACTAGAATAACATTGTAATATTATTTTATGTCTGACATCTATTGACATTAATTACTTTAAAATGCACTAAGCACTTTTAAACGCGGCCCGCGAACCTATTTGCATACTAAAGTTTGGCTCTCAACATGTTAAAGGTTGCCCATACCTGGCTTAGACTAACGCTCAAACAGCCTAAATTCACAATGTTTTACTATTTTTTGCAAATTATTTAATTAATTTGTTTCAAACTACAAATAAATATTAAAAATAACGTTAAGTTAACAATTCAAGTTTAATATATGTAAATTTTTATAAAAATATACTAAACCGTAATTAACCGATAATGTTAACCCTTAACCACTTACCACAGGTCTCTCAGACACCGTTGAAGTTATTTTTGTTAATATTTCGGCGCGAACGCATCGTTCATTCTCGCGCGTTCATGTACCTTCCCCCCGCGCTCGTCAGTACCGCGTGAGCCACCGGCGACGTCACAGGTGCCCGCGGTTAGCCAAGGTAAGTATCCAAACATCGGCAGGGGTCTGTGTGACCTGAGGTAAGTGCTTACGTTATTATTTTCTAAATAATATTTTAACTTTTATTTATTC